GTCCGCGCGTGACCCCGGATGGAGCGCGGAGTGCGCGGGGCCTCGCGCGCTCATAGGGCTCAGGCGACGACGTCGGGCTCTAGGGGAGCGCAGGACGCACCGCGCGACTCTCCGCCAGCGAAAGGCGAGGCTTGGGGCTTCGCCTTCTAAGGAAAGGCAACCCCCGGGGCGGAGCCGCGCGGGAGCCTCCCCGCTTAAGGAGGCCTGAGTGAGTTCCCGCTCAGGGCGGGCAGGAGCTGCCCCGCATGGCCCAGTGATTAGCACCTAGCTGGGGCCTCAGACCATTTCCCCACTGAATTGGCAAAGAGTCCCCACCTGCGTTCACACCCGGCCACACTTTCTTATTGATTCCTAGAGTTCTTTATATATTCTGTGTTAGAGATGGATCCGGGGATTTTCATTGTATTGAAGAGACTGCCAATAATTGTGCTGTTCTGTGGTTGCTATTGATTATAACGAACAGGAGTTATTCTCAATGAAGTCCAATTTATCAGTCTTTTCTCATATGCTTCATGCCTTTCCATAATGATATTGTATGTTTTCTTTTTGAAGTGTAATAGTTTTAGCGTTCACATAGTGATGGGCCACATTAATTCTTGTGAGTGGTGTGGTAAGGGGTCAGAGCTCATGTATTTTCCATGTGTGTATCCAGTTAACCCAGCATCATTTATTGAAAGACCATTTCCCCCACTGAACTGGGAAAGAGTCCCCATAATAAACAAGTGATGTACATGTGAAGATCTGTTCTGGACTCTTCTATCCCACTATTTATTTCTCTATCCTTGAACCAACACAGCCCAGTTCAAAGAACAGGATTGACCAACTTGCTCCAATTCACACCTAAACAGCCAATAGAATACATGTTCTTTCCCTGTGCACATAGGATTTTAACCAAAATAAACCAAATCCTGGGCTATAAAGTTGTAACAAATTTAAAGGATTGAAATCATATAATTGTGTTGTCTCAGCATTAATTTAAAACTCAATAATAATAAAACTACTAGAAAGCCTCCAAGTGCTTGGCAATTAAACATTACACTTGTAAATAATCAATGGGTCAAAGAGTAAATCACAAGGGAAGTTGCAAAATATTTTGAAGTGAATGGTAGTGAAAATATGGGATGCAGGTAAAGCAATGCTTAAAGGAAAATTTATAGCTTTAGAAGAATAACTAAAAATTAATGCTCTAAGTTACAACTCAAGAAGCTAGAAAAAAAATTAACAAATCCAAGCCAAAGGTGAAAAAAATAAGATCAGAAATTAATAAAAGCAAAAATTAGAAAAAATATAAAAAAGCCAAAAATGTTATTTGAAAAGATTAATAGAAATGATAAACCCCTGGAAATGGGTAAGAACTCCCCCCCACCCACACACACAGACATACACACAAATTCTAATATCAGGAATGAAAAAGAGGGCATCACCACAGGTATTACAAACATTATAAACATAGCAAAAGGATAGGATGAGCAACTTGGACAGTAAATTTGAAATTTAAATGAAATGCAATTTATCAAAACTGATACTAAATTAAATTTGTTTAATCCATAATTTAAAATTTTCTTACAAAGAAAATTCTAGGTTCAGATGGTTTCATTGACAAATTCTTCTAAACAGTTGAAGAAATATCACCAACTGTATACAATCTGTCCAAAGAACCGAAAACGATGGAGCCTTTCCCAGCTTATTTTGTAAGGCCAACATAACATTGACCCCCAACCTGTCAAGAACATTAGAAGATATTAGGAAAGCTACCAAACCTCTGCCTGCCTTGGTATCCCCCACCCATAGAACAGAAAATAACAACATCTATCTCCTCTGGTTGTTGAGAAGACTGAATCAGTTAATATGTGTAAAAAAAAATTGTGTAGTAAGTACTCAGTAATTTTTAGCTGTTTTTGCAGAGCAGCCACAGAACTCTAAAATATGAGCGTGCACTCTCCTGTTCTCTTTAATGCATAGAGCACCAGGACAGAGTCTGCCTCTGGTGCTTCTGAAGAGCACTCAGGCTTGGGGTTCCTTGTGTTTTATAGATGGGAATATGGGACTTACCCAAAGAGTGGCTGCAGGACGGGGCATAGCCCGATTGTGAACTTGAGTCTGACGCCAGGGCCCCTGGAAGGCAGCTCTGACATGAGAAGCATCTATGCCTGTGGATCCCTGATAACACCCCCCCCACCCCCACCTCATATGTGGGAAGTGTGGCCTCAGGGAACTTCCGGTCCCATTCACAGCCTCAGTTTCCTCCCAGACAAAATGAGACCTGGCTCTCTGTTTCCTTTGTCCTGGGTGGAAGGGTGTAGAAAGACTTCCTGGGCTCTGACCTGCAAGTGACAGATCACTGGGTGTAACCCAGAGTGACAGGGCCCCTTCAGTCCCGGAGCTGCAGGCTTGAGACCAGCCATGCCTGACACCAGGGGATGTCTTCCTGGACATTCCAGATCAGATAAAGCCGCGTCCCAGTGTATTCAATACTGAATATTGACAGCAGTAAGGAACTGAACAGGCCCAAGTATTTATCAAGAGGGGGGCAGTTAAACCCATCTGTAGTACCCGGACCACAGCCTTATTCAGACCTTTAAAAGCTTAGGCCCTGCTAGAATCACTTGAGGTCTACCTGTCCCTTGAGGCTGGAGGAGGCTGGCCTGACGTGTCCAGCTCAATCCCAGCCCCCAAGTCCCCCTAGGGTACTTGGACATTCTTCTAATTACCTTGGCCCTGATTTTCTGCCTCTTAGAATTCTTACTCTCCACTCTTATCTTGCATCTGACCCTTCTGTCTGCTCCGGGGTTGACCCAGTGTAGAACTTGGTCCCTGGCTGGTGAGGAGCCTTCTGAGTGCTCACAGCCCAAATTGACTTGAGCATAAGGAGGTCTGTGGAATTGTGTGACTGAAATGTCCAGGAGAAGTGCCCTGGTTTCAGGCATGGCTGGATCCAGGAGTTTCCCTTTCCATCTGGGGTCTGTCTGTGCTCCTTCCTGATGGCTTTGCTCTCAGGCAACTTGTCCCCAAGTGATTGCAGACTAATGCCTCTGGCTTCCTGTCTACCCTCCCCCTCATCCCCCCCCCCCCCCCCCCCAAACACACAAACATTTTGCCTTTTCCAGGGGAAAAAAACCACTCTTTCTAGGTAGCTCTGGGGGGGCCCCGGCACCAGCAGATTCTGTCCTTTACCCATCACTGAACCAGCTGTGGCTGGAAGCGGGATAGGTGCCCCATTGTCAGGCCTGGTCACAAACCTGGCCCTGGAGAGGGTACAGGGGCCCTTCAGTGGCCTCATCAGCATGGATGAGGGCGGGGCTACCATGGGAGGTGACAGGAGAAGGGTCCTATCCTGGCTTTCTGTAGGTAGAGACCTGCTCAAGGCTATTGTATGGCTCCCAATTTGGGGAGCAGAAGGTCTATAACTCAGTGATGACAGGTTTGTAAAGTGAGTGGCAATACCTACCTCAGATGTGGTCATGGGTCCCTGCCTGGTCCCCCTAAGGCCATTCAGGAGGACAGACACACGCAGGATGGTGTCCCCTACCCCAGAGCAAATGCTCGGGCCCCCAGAACAATCTGTCTACACCACTGCTGCCTCTTCCTGGCCTGGCCCTAGAGGGAAGTGACTGGCCGGAGTTTGCAGAGGTGTGGACTGGAGTGAAGGGGTGTAGAGAGGTGTGGACATGTGGGTTCATGTAAGAAAGCTGAATGCAGGGCTTGCTGTGGGTGGAGGGGAAGGTTTGGGCCATATTCTTGGTGGGAGTCTGGGTCTCTGGATCAGGTCCCAGCCTTTCAGGCTGTGAACCTAGTCATGAAGTAATACATGCTCATGTGATAAATTCTGGAAAATATAGAAAAAACATACAGAATTTGCACAAAAGATTCATAATTGGGCTCACAGGCAATCATTGTAAATGGCTTAATATATTTTTATCCAACCACAGGAGGAAAAAGATGAAGAGAAGGAGGGAGCTGGGTTGTAGCTGTTTCTGTTTTCCCCACTGTATTGTCGCCTGTGAGAACTTCCCCAGCTCCTTACGATTCTGCACAAATGGTAGTTTGATGACTGCACTCTGCTCCCTGTGGCTGTGTCACCCAGTTATTTATAACACTGGGTATGTTTAACTTGTTTGTACTTTTCCACTATTGAACTAAATCTTGTGCCTCTGATCACTTTCTTAGCATTGCTGCCCAGAAGTGGTTTCCAGGTCAGTGGGAAGGAGTACTTAAAAAAAATATATATTGATTTCAGAGAAGAAGGGAGAGGGAGAGATATAGAAATATCAATGACGAGAGAGAATCATTGATCAGCTCCCTCCTGCATGTCCCACACTAGGGATCAAGCCCACAACCCAGACATGTACCCTGACTGGGAATCAAACCGTGACTTCCTGTTTCATAGGTCAACACTCAACCATTGAGCCACGCTGGCCAGCATGGGAAGGGGCATTTCTGAAACTCCACATCATGACGTGTTTGGGCCCTGGTGGGGTAGCTCAGTTGGTTAGATGCAGCGGTCGACAACCTTTCGGACCTTACGGATCACCGGTTGGCGACCGCTGGGTTAGAGCATTGTCCCCATACACCAAGGTTGCGGGTTCAATCTCCAATCAGGGCACATGTAAGAAGCAACCAATGAATGGGTGGATCGACAAATCTCTCTCTCTCTCTCTCTCTCTCTCTCTCTCTCTCTCTCTCTCTCCAAATTACCAAATAAAAAGAAATTTTTAAAGAAGTGTTTGGGGGACAGCGTGGTCCCTGTGGCACCCCATTGCAAGGGTTCAAACACCAGAACAGGGAAAGGACTTTGAGCTCCGTGGGGTGGGCATGCGGCAAAGCGAGTGTCTGGCCTGCAGCCAGGGAGACAGTACTGGCTGCCTGTCGGGGGGCTGGGGCCGGGCGGCACCTGAAAGCACCCACCCTTCACTAACCTGGGTTTGAATGTTTCCAAAACTTATATTCACTCTTAGAAGGTGAAGATTTGCTGTCTGTGAGGATAGAGAAGGTGACCGAGGCCTCCAGGTGTGTGACGTATGACAGGGGGTGACGATGGAGTGGCTTACCTTTTGACCACCTGGATGTGGGTGGGTCTGCCTGGGGCCAGTGCTCCCCTGGTTCTGTGAAGGACACACGAGCGAATCCTTGAGCACACACTTGGCAAACACTGCGTGACCCAGCATGTGCTGCCCTCAACGTGCCAGAATGGCACCCCAACCTGGGCTGTGAGGACCCTGACTCGGCCATCCCCATGGTACGTGACCTCCCCATGCACTCAGGGAGGCCTAGGCAGCCACACGGTCCCCTTCCCTGGGTCATTCATTCATCTCTTTGCTGAATGTTCATGAGGTGCCCACTCTGCAGGGCCTCACTGGACACTGGAGGCATGGTGGCCGGCACACTGGCAGGGGCACAGTGCCCTGGGACGAGGCAAACACTTCTCCCAGGATTACACAGCTGTCTAGGAAAGGGGCTGCGGTCTGCTGGGGGAAGGCAGCAGGGCCTGAGGCTGCTGTGAGCCCTGAGGACCCGAGGGTGGGCCCTGGGCACCGTCCCCCACGGCTACCAAACCCTCCAGCGCAGCGCTGTCTCCTCAGCACCTGCGCTGAGGCAGCAGAGTCTGTGCTGGAGGGAGACACGGAGGCTGGGATCCCAGGGGGGTGTCAAGCAGGGAGGGAGGATTCGGGGAGCAGGAGGAGGAGGAGGCATGGGCAGCAGGTGGGCCGGGAAGGCAGGGCCTGGCCTGAGAGAGGGCAGCACTGACCTCTCCGGGGCTGGAGACCTCTGGGCACCCACCTGCCCTCCTGCACTGGCTGCTGTGTGGAGAGGCCTCTGGTCTTGGCCCCGCGGCCTCAGGCTCCCGCTTTACAAGGCCCTAAAAACCATACAGGTTTTTCCTCTTGGCTGCAATCACAGACCCCGACGAACCCAGCGCTCTCCCGTCTGTCACAAGGATGGACCTGCCAGCCAGGTACCCGAAGAGAGAGACACAGATTGGGGGCAGCTGTACATTCTGTGTCCCACACCCACAAAGCAGTGGTTCCTGTAGTGGAAGCCTGGCGGTCCCCCTGAGGCTGAACTGGGGACCCAAGGCTGCCCTTCCCAGGGGGCCTGCAGCCTGCGTGTGCGTGAGGGACGGGAGCAGGCCCTGTTCAGACAGCGGCAGGGACAATAGCCAGTGGGCCCTTTTCCTCCTGTCGGATGCCTTTTCCCCTTTCCTGAGATCTGGAGGCCTTTTCTGCACAAATATGTTGTTTTGAAACACTGTGTATTGTTCTGAGATTTCAAAGTCATGGCCAGCAGCCAAAGACAACATATTTTTGTGACTATAACAGTAAAACCTGGTCACTAAAGTATACTTGCAAAATCAGAAAAGCCTATAAGGAAAATTGTAAAGTCACAGTGCTGTGTAGAGATAAGGAATGTGAATGTTTGGCCTGTTTCCTCTCAGTTCAAAATAATGTACACACATTTATACAGAATTCGTGTGCAGCTCTGACACCGGGTTTTTACCTCACACTGGGTCCTGGGCGTGTTTCCATGTGCCCTGGCACTCGCAGTGGCTGTGTGGTGTTCTGTCCCATAATGAGACCCCCCCCCCCATCCTCGTCCACAGACACACATGCGTGGGACGCTCCTGACCTCCTGACACACCCCGCGCACCCCTGCCTGGAGGGTCTCAGGGTCCTGGTTCAGGGATGTCCCTGGGGGACCCTCTCCCAGGGGGGAGGGGAAGTCCGAGGACTAGGCAGTTTCTCCCAGCCTGCCTCCCCGCCACAGGCTGTGTTCCTGACTCCCCAGGGGAGACAGTTCAACCCCAGTGTTGGTGGGAAGAGCCTTCTTCTGGGCAGAAACTTCCGAGATGCCTCATCCCAACCGCAGACCCCAAACCGGGGTTCGCAGCAGAGTTCTGACCCCAGGGTCACCGAGCGATTGGGATCCTTAAAAGCCACAGAGAGCTGGACAGGCCTCGAGGGAGTGCAGGGAGAGAAGACACTGTGTTTTACCTGGGGTCCCTGGGCCTGGAGACGCCCAGGGGAATCTGAGCTCTGGTGGCAGAGAAGCCCCTCCAAGGGGGTCAGCAGTAAGCCTCCACCTCCTGCCCGCCCCCCAACAAGCACGGCCAGGTGGTGGAGATGGGCCCGGGGTGCCCAGCCTCTGAAGTTCAGAAGGCACCCCAGGCCCCGCTCAGGCATCTTTTCTTTCCCACCCAGGTGTTGAGAACCTGGTACCCTTGGCTCTTCCCACCCCTCACCCTGCACCGAGGCGGCCTCCTCCAAGCTGCAGCCTCCCACCCCCAACCTGGGCCTGCTGCCACCCCCTCACGAGGACCTGTGTCCCCCAACCCCTGGGTGCCACCTTGCCCGACTTTCTCCCCACTTTCCCTTTCCTGCAGGTGTTCCAAGCTAAAGGGCTCTGCTACCCTGTGCGCTCAAAACCCACGCAAAGAACAGGAGTCTGTGGCCTAGGGAGTAAAGGTGCCACGCCCGGATCACAGGGGAGCTCGTGCTCAAGGACTTGGTGCCCCCATGACCTCCAGGGGGAGGAAATCATTAATCATGGTGACTAAGGGAGTTGGGGTCGTGGTCAGGAACGTGGTCTCCATCTTCTGCACAACCTCAGGCAGCGCCACTCAGCCGTGGAGCCAGGCTCACCCTGGGCGCCTGCTGGGCGTCCTCCATACCCTGGTTTCCAGGACTTTCCTGGAGGACATGCTGCTGTGCCCCCACTTGGAGGTGTGTGAGCAGCCTGATACGGCTCACCTGGGCCTCCTCACGGAAACAATAGAGCCTCGAGTCGACTGTGATGTCACGGGACCGGGGCCTGAGAGGTGAACCGGCCTGGGGAGGGGGAGAGGGTCTATCTACAAAGTTCAGCCACGGAGTTCAGCCTGGGGTCCTCCACAGGACAGGGAAGGGATTTTTTTAGCACCTAAATAGCAAGGGGAAAAAGAAACAAGTCAAACCATGGTGACACATGGACCTTACTGGGATCTTGACAGTCATAGACAGGAAATCATATGTCTGTGTACAGGCACCCGTGTATGAAAGTGGAACGCTGGCTCCATCTGTGATATGGAGGAATTATTTAAATTTTTAAATCTTTGTTTTAAAAATATGTACAGTGAAATTGCCTTTTTTAGTGTTCAGTTCTGAGTTCAGCATACGGATAGCTTTGTGGGCCTCAGGATGCAGAGCAGTTCGGCCACCCGGAAAGCTCATGCCACCCCGCTACAGGCTGCCCCTTAACCCCTGGGGACCACTGCTCAGTTCTCCCTCGCAGCTTTGTCCTCTTGACAACGTCTCCTCTCTGGAATCACATACTGTGTGGCCTTTCGGACTGGCCTCTTTCTCTCACACGTGTCTGTCAGGTTACCCGAGGTGGCTGCATCAGTGGCTGATTTCAGGTACGGATCCAGGTACGGAAACTCAGGTTACCCACGTGTGGCTGAAGGACCTCCGGGGAGTCCCTCCTGCTAGGGGCTCTGAGATAGACATGCTGTGGACGTCTATGTACGGGCTTTGGGCTGAAGACCAGCTTTCTCTTCCCTGGGATGAATACCCAAGAGTGGGATCACTGGCTCATGTGTCAAGTATCTAGTTGACTTTTTAAAAAATGCCAAGCTGGATATAAAAGGATCTCTTACCCTTTTCAATAGCATGGATGGACCTGGAGAGTATTATGCTAAGCGAAAAAGCCAGAGAAAGGCAAATATCACATGATCTCACTTATATGTGGAATCTAATGAACAAAATAAACTGATGAATAAAATAGGTCCAGAGGGCATGGATGCGTGGAACCGACTGACAGATCTCAGGGGGGAGGACGGGAAGAGATTAACCGAAGAACGTATATTCATGTATGCATGGCCCCTGGACACAGACAATAATGTGGTGAAGGCCTGGGGTGGGGTGGGGACTGGGTGAAGGGGGGCAAAGGGGAAAAATGGGGGGCATCTGCAACGCTGTCAACAATAAATAAATAAAAACACAATAAATCCCCTGGAGTTTAAAGGGGCTGCACCACTTAGCATTTGCACAATTTACAATGCGCATGAGTCCTGGGCTCTGCCTCCTCACCGGGTGACCTAGTGACCCACCACCTCCTTAGCCCAGGACTGAGGGGGGGAAGGGGCTTCCTGGGATGTGGAACTTTCAGTGTTAAAATGGGAAACTCCTGGGAAAACTAGAATGATTGGTCACCCTATCCTTGTCAACACTTGCTAGGGTCAGTTTTTTTAAAAAAATTATGCTTTTATTGATTTTAGAGAGAGAGAGAGGAAGGAAGAAGGGGAGAAACTTTGATGAGAGAGAAGCATCCTGCATGCCTCCTGCATGCCCCCTACTGGGATCGAGCCCACAACCTGGGCATGTGGCCTGGTTCATGGGTCGAGGCTCAACCACTGAGCCACACTGCTGGGCATTATTTTTTACTTTAGCTATTCTAATGTGTGTGTAGTTAGTATCTCATCATTTTAATTTGCATTCCCCGGAGAGCTGATGATGTTGAGCATCTGTTCATGCACTGTTTGCCATCCATATGTCCTCTTTGGTGAACTGTCTCTTTAAATCTAGTCTCAACTTTTTTTTTTTTAATATATTTTATTGATTTTTTACAGAGAGGAAGGGAGAGGGATAGAGAGTTAGAAACATCGATGAGAGAGAAACATCGGATCAGCTGCCTCCTGCACACCCCCTACTGGGGATGTGCCCACAACCAAGGTACATGCCCTTGACCGGAATCGAACCCGGGACCCCTCAGTCCGCAGACCGACGCTCTATCCACTGAGCCAAACTGGTCAGGGCTAAATCTAGTCTCAACTGTTGCTTATTGAATTGTCTTCTAACTGTTGAGTTTTGAGAGCTTCCTATATATTCTCTCTCTATAGTTGTTTATGTGATTTCCACATTTTGTCTCCCAGTCTGTTGCTTGTGTTTTCATTCCGGTAACTGTCGTTTTGAAAGCAAAATTTTAAAATGTTGATGAAACTCCAGTTATCTTTGGTTTTCTTTGTTTGTGGTAAAATTTATGTAACATAAAATTTACCATTTGAAACATTTTAAGTGTACAATTCAGTGGCATTAAGTGTATTCAGTGTTGTGTAACCATCACCATGATCTATTTCCAGGGCTCTTTATCACCCCAAACAGAACTCTGCTCCCACTAAGTAATATCTCCCCATCCCCCTCACCTCGGGGCCCCTGGAACCTCTATTCTACTTTCTGTCTCTTGAATGGGACTATTGTTGACATCTTATACGAGTGGAATCATACAGTATTTGTCTTGTTGTGACTGGCTTATTTCCCTTAGCATAATGTTTTCAAGGTTCTTCCATGTTGTAGCATGTGTCAGAACTTAATTCCTTTAAAAATTTTTTTTTTTTGTTA